TCAGCGGGCTGGCACGTGGCACTCGTATCCACGCATGGCTTCCGCCTGCGAGCTACCGCGACCTAGAAGTCCTGGAGGCCTATTGGCTGTTGAACTGTAGCCGCGTCCAGGAAACGCGGGGCATCAGCGAATCATCATCATCAATGCTCTGGAGTTACCATTCTCGGTCTTCTTAAGCAGGCAGGCGGCGGTAGTGCAGTCGTGCGTGCCAGGGGCAGCAGGTGTTGCTGTTTCGTCGCTCTGTGCACGCGCAGCGGGGGTGCCCCTGCCCATCCCGCTCCCGAGGGCGCGTGGGCCCTGCGGGCGTGAAGCGCTCCTTGTGGAGTCCCACGAGGAGCCGTCTGTGGGCTCGTCCAGGGGCAGTGGTGATTTTCAATCCTGCCTATTCTCGGTTTCCCCCCTCGTCCCTTCCGCCGTCCTTCCATCAATGTTTGCCCCTGCTCTGCCTCGTCCTCCGTCCCGTCAGGGCTTGCGACCGAGTGCCGCGGTTGAGTGCGAGGCCCGGCACTGCAATAGCGGTATTGTGTCGAGTTTGCCTGGTGCCAGCTTCGCGTGGAGACGCGTGCCGATCAGAACTTCGACGCCTGGGCCTGCATCGACCAGGGGCAGGCCCGAGGCTGGTGGACCTGCCGGCCTGACCTGACTGGTTCCCATATGTCTCCGTGTCTTTCTCTCTCTCACACCCTTCCTCGCTCATCCATGACAATGTCCATCCATCCTCCTTATCCTGTCGGTGGCTCTTCCATAACGTGTAACCCGAGCGCTTGGAGTGCGTCCGACCCCCAAGCGGCGTTCATGTGGTCGCACGAAAGCGCCGCCCTCGACGAGGGCGCCCCGCTTCGCTGGCGGGACATCTGGAGTTCCGACATCACGAATCTCGGAAGCAGTTACTCTCTCTCCCTCCTCCTCCTCCTCCTCTTTTTTTGTCTCTCTCTCTCTCTCTCTTTCTCTCTCTTTCTCTCCCAGGGACGGCGGGAGCGGCGGCGGCGGCGCCGCCGCCGACGACGATGCATTCGCTCCACCTCCCCCTTCACCTCTCCCTCCCCCTCCCAAGGCCCCTTGCCCTATCCCCGCGTTCGTCTCTTCCTTTCTGCCCGACTGTGGTCTGGAAGGCAATGCTGCAGCGAGGCATCAGGATGTTGAGGATGTTGAGGATGATGATGAGGATGATGATGCGGTGGTGGTGGTGGTGGTGGTGGTGGTGGTGGAGGGTGGAGGAGGAGAAGGAGGGGGAGGAGGAGGAGGAGAGGATGGAGAGGGAGAGAGGGAGAGAGGGAGAGAGGGAGAGAGGGAGAGAGGGAGGGGGCTGGAGAGGAAGGAGGACGGAGGAGGGAGGGAGGGATGCACGAGGGAGGGAGGGGGAGAGGAGGAGGAACAGGACGAGGAGAAGGAGGGGAGGTCGGAGGAGGAAGAGGAGCAGCCGCAGCTGGAGGAGCGCGAGGAAAAGGGCCGAGGTAGCCATACCCAGCGAGCCCGAGGGCCCAGCCGAAGTATTCGGGAGGGAGGGAGAGGCGGGGAGGGCCTCCTCCTCCTCCTCCTCCTCCTCCTCCTCATCCTCCTCCATCACACCTCATAGTAACAGTCTTTGGAGCAGCATGATGTTGGGACTGGAGCGCGCCCCTATCTCGCAAGCGGACGGCGCTCGTGCGCGGCCCCGGCTTCGATTACTCGTCGAAGGGGAAAGTACGCGGGCCGCGCAGGGGCGGGAGCGGCGATACTTCCGATGGGCGCGGAGGAGACGAAACATGCGCCGCAGTGGCACAACACTGGCGCTTTGGTTCGCAAGCTGCGAGGCGTTTGGGCGACGTCGACATTTCGTCTGCTCTCGCGCGGTCCTGCTGCCGCTGCCGCTTTTATGCGATTCGGCAAAAGAAACATGCGCCACGCCTGCGCGGGAACGGCTTTTCCGAGCGACGTGCACGCGGAGTTAGGGCAAAGGGCGACACAGCGCCCATTCGCGCGACCCCCCAACATTGGCGAGCGACAAATATGTGTCGTCGAGGCAATCTGCATGGCGCCGAGGCGAAAGCGACATTATCGTCCGCTCTCGCGTCGACGAAGTTGCGTGCAAAAGCCGTGCGCTGTGCTTACACGGGAACCCACTTCTGTAGAAATGGCCGCGGTGCCGATGCCAGAGCGGCATTTCGCCATTTCGCGCAGGATGTGCGCCCCGTCTCATTCTTGTCACGCGCTGTCCAACATGTTCATGTCCATGTTGAGGCGAACATCGTCGAAGCTGGTTTGTGGAAGGACGGACCAAGGTAGGAGGGAATGTCCCCGATGTGGAGGCTATCGACCATCTGAATTGTGGGACAGCGTTGGATAACATACACATGGGGAAGGATAGTAGAGGGAGGGATGGATGGAGGGAGGGAGGGAGACACGGAGGGAGGGAGGGAAGGAGGGAGGAGGAGGGAGGAGGAGGAGGAGGAGGAGGAGGAGGAAGAGGAGGAGGTGGATGCTCATGATGCTGATGATGATGATGATGATGATGATGATGGTGGTGGTGGTGGTGGTGGTGGTGGTGATGATGGTGGTGGTGGTGGTGATGATGATGATAATGATGATGATGAGGATGATGATGATGATGCTGATGTTGGTGATGATGATGATGATGATCATCATGATGATGTTGATGATGCTGATGATGATTATGATGACGATGATGACGATGATGACGATGACGATGACGATGATGATCATGATGATGCTGATGCTGATACTGATGATGATGCTGATGATGATGATGGTGATGGTGATGGTGATGATGATGATGATGCTGATGATGATGATGATGAGGATGGTGGTGGTGGTGGTGGTGGCCGTGGTGATGATGATGAGGATGCTGATGCTGATGATGCTGATGATGATGATGATGCTGATGATGATGATGATGCTGCTGATGTTGATGATGATGATGATGTTGTTGATGATGATGATGCTGATGATGATGATGATGATGTTGTTGATGATGATGATTAGGATGACGATGATGATGATGATGATGATGATGATGATGATGATGATGATGATGACGATGATGAGGATGATGATGATGATGATGATCATAATAATGATGCTGATGATGATGATGATGTTGCTGCTGATGATGATGATGATGATGATGATTCTGATGATAATGATGCTGATGTTGATGCTGGTTATGATGATGCTGCTGCTGCTGATGATGATGATGATGATG